GCTCATCGGTTAGGGTCCAGAGTCTGTGGGGGTCCAGAGTCTGGAGGGTCCAGAGTCTGGAGGGTCCAGCGTCTGGACGGTCCAGAGTCTGGAGGGTCCAGAGTCTGGAGGGTCCAGCGTCTGGAGGGTCCAGAGTCTGGAGGGTCCAGCGTCTGGAGGGTCCAGAGTCTGGAGGGTCCAGAGTCTGAAACAACTCCTGACTCGATCAGTTCAAAGCTACAGATTTAAAGGGTCTGTAACATCAAATTTTTGTAATCAATGTGAATGCGTTTTTGGAAAGAGAAAGTTGACAACATGTTGCAAAACAAATCTCGTGCCGCTGAGATGAACAGCTGTTGAGATATTTACATGTGACGAAACAGGAAGTGATGTCATAGGGGAAGGTCTGCATGTGAACAGAGCGATGCTGCAGTAATTAGAGAAGAAGCTGATGTTTCTTTAGATTATTTTGAGTCACTTTCAGAGTTGAGGAAGAGTTTAAATAATTTTGTTTTAATAAACAAAGACCAGAGAGTTTTCTTTGTTAAAGAGTTCCCCTTTGATGTCACTTCCTGTTTCACTTTGATGAGCCAAATTCAAGAGAAAATATGCCAGTTATGGGAATAAATGGTTAAAATCATGCGTATTACGCTAATTTTCTTAAATATAAATATGTTTTCTTTGACTTTTTGTATTTGAAGGACAAGCATGTCACAGGCACTTTAATCTCAGGTTAGTTTGGCTCAAAGCTTCAAAGCCTCGGAGCAGCAGGCCACGCCCACTCTCACCTGTTTCTTCTTCTTCTTTTTTAATGGTGGTTAGAAAACAAATAAAGGAAGCATCACCGCCACCAACTAGTGAGGAGTGTGGACCACATGACCAAAAACATAATAACTATATCCTATCATACAACTTACACTGTTTAAAAAGATCAAATATGGCCTGATATCCTCAATCAAGAATATTCTCTGAACCTGATCATTCAATGTAAAATAATGAGCTCTGTTGTCTCATTTTCTCCTCACGTTCCTGTCCTGTTTCCCCATTAAGAGTCTCTTCTCTCTTTCTTTTTTCTGTTGGATTCTATAAAACCACTGCCTTTCCTTGTCCTCCTGTTTTTTTCCACGTCTCTGTCATATTTTATTTTTTTATCCTCTTTATTTCTGTTAAACTAAATCCAACAGTAATATCAACCAATACCTGATTGGTGCTCTGCTTAGCTTTCCTATCTGCCACTTCATCCCCCATGACCCCATGATGTGCTGGAACCCAGAGAAAATTTACTGTTATAAAAAATAACATAAAGTGTTTGCTGTATTTCAATTAATATATCTGGTTTTCTGTCTGACTGGTTATGTTGCAAAGTGACCAATGATGAACTAGAATCTGAACAAATGATTGATTTTATGGTCTTACCTCTTCTACCCACTGAACTCACCTGTGCCCTCAGTCAGCTCAGGTGTTTGCAGGTTCCTCGTCAGCTCAGAACATCTGAGATAATCTAAACAGAAGCATGAACAGATTTAAATCTCTGGATAATTCATTTTTATTCTGAGTTATAAATATTAAACTGAAAAGACATGAGGTTTGATTAATAAAAGCAGCAGTTTGAAGTCGTCACTGATGAATAACATCTGTTTTTTAAAGAGGACAAAAATGAATCAAACGTATTTATAATTTGTAAAAACTTCAGACAAAAAGCAAAGAGTTTTACAGATTTAACAGGTATTTAACAACATATTTAACACAAAGTTGAACATGTTTAACATGTTAAACAACATGTTTAAGTTTAACAAGTTTAACCTGTTAAACATGTTTTTACAAATCCTTTAATTGAAGCTGATTTTCATCTTCAATTTCTGAAAATTTCAAAATAAAGCAACCAGCATGTCATGAGATATTTTGCTAACAGACACTCTCCATCCTGTCACTCCTCCCCCTCTTCTTCTTCTTCTTCTTCTTCTTCTTCTTCTTCTTCTTCTTCTTCTTCTTCTTCTTCTTCTTCTTCTTCTTCTTTATGAAGTCACGTTCAGAAAATGCCACAGGTTGTCACGGCAACAGGAGGGGGCTGCAGCTCCCCTCCTCCTGGATGTGGTTGCCATGAAAACAGGCATCTCCATCCCTCATTACTGATCCCCGCCCCCCCTCCTCTGCTCCCATATTAAAACTCATAATTAACCTGCAACACACACACACACACACACACACACACACACACAC